TGTGTCCTGTCTCTCCCTGCCTTGTCCCCAGTCCCCTGGGCAGCTCTCCTGGAGCCCCTTTAGGCCCTGCCAGGGGCTCTCAGCTCTCCCTGGAGCCTTCTCTTCTCCAGGGGAATACCCCCAGCTGCAGAGCAGGGGGGCCCCAGCCCTTGCAGCATCATTATTTCTTAATTATACTACAATTTTTTTTTGTTTCAGATCCTCGTTATTCAAAGTCCCAAGAGCTTGGTGGAGCTGGGGCCAAATGCCACCAGAAGTGCTACTGCTGTATAATCATTCTATGGTCTCACATCATTCAAATACACAAAGATAAATTAGATTTCAAGAAACAGAACATACATGACAAAACATATGTTAAAGGAAGCATCTTAGAGCTTGATAGTGAATACACCTCTGGCCTACAGAGACTCCTATCAGACACAATGTATTTCTGTACTAATGTGATAAAGGCAGAAGGTGAGTTTTTGTCATAAAAACATAAAAACTCTCAAAGGCAACACTGAGGCACTGCTTGGGCAGCAGCAAGACAATTTCAAATGAGCTTCTGTGTTCCTTGTAGCATCCAAGCACAGATTTTGGGCAGGATGAAGCCACTCAAGCTGCCAGTTTGCTGTGCAGCTCTTGCAGACTGTCCCTGCCACAGCTACACAACCAGGAACATTCGAATATTTATTCTCAAAGTACCCGTGCTTGAGCTGCAGCCACACACTTTGCTCTGTGCCAGGCACATCATCAGAGGAACTAAGTGAAAGATTAAAGATCTGGAAACTACCTCTATCTTCCAATTCAGACAGGGGAAAATATCATAGTTACAGCATCAAGAGGATGACACTTAGAGACTGTAAGCAAGAAGAAACACAAACAGACAGAAGTGGTAAAGAAAGCTCAAATGTACATTTCCATTGTGGTGGGCATGAACAGGCAATTAAGCATTGACTAGGCACCAGAGATAGACACCAGATCTGTGACACATCACAAAAAGGATCTGGAAGGTAGAAGCAAGCAGAGTGAAGCATTTGCAGGCAGAAGTAAAGGATGGTGAAATCATAAGAAATAACAGACACATTGTTAGTACCTTTTTGTGTCTCTCTACTTTGATATATTTTAATGTAGATACTACAAATCAGTCTACATGAAATTTAAAAGGAAAAAGATATTAACATAAACCACTAAATATTAATAAACAGATTCCCTGTAAAGTTAAAAATTACCATGCAAATGTAATTAACCAGAAAGTAGCACCAAAAGGAAAAAAAATAGGAATAAGCTATAGTGTATATAAATCACAGATGTACAACAGAGGTCTTAATAGCTTCAAGTATCCTCATGCTGAACAGTAAAATGCAGAGTAAAGGATATACTTGTCTGATAATGGCTAGGAATATTCCTCTAGTTCTAACCAAAGAACACAGACATGAGAAAACAAGCCATCACTGACCACTAAACACTGAATTCTGCAATTTCTATTACTGCTACAACAGTACATTTGTGTGGCAGATTAGTTATGATGATGGCTTGGGTGATTAATGAAGCTGAATCCAGTTACTGACTCTGCTTTAGTTCCTTACAGATGCAACATTGTACCCCCACATCTATAAACACCCTAACAGCACAAACCAAGTCAATCAGATCCCACTGTTGCAGTAACTCCTTACTTCTGCCAGATGCTTTAGTGTCTGGAGTTGTTTTTAACAGCAAAGTATAAACTGGATCAACTATTTCAAAGGAAACCATTTAAATTGACTTATTTTTCACTAGTCTTGAGTAGCACTATCATCTCCCTGTCTTAGCACATCATCTGCTTGGCAGTTCCTCACTCTAACAAGGATTTTATTTTGCAAGCAATAAAATGACTAATTAAAAAAAAAATTGCTTGTCCACAAAAAGTTGTCTCAACTTAGTTGACTCTAGACTGTGAATTGGCAAATAAATTCCAACAGAAAAAGAAGAGGGAACTTAGAGCCAACAAAAAAACTTGGGTTTGAGGGTAAGTTGGTTCAATGTGCTTTGTGAACCAAGAATAATTAATTTCTGGTTTGAAATAAATGAGTTTCTAATATCTAAACTCTACTGCCATGCATATTAATGTCATTTATGCTTCACAACACTGCCCCAGATCTAGCAGCACCTCACAATTACTTTGCACACCTACTGAAAGACCACAAAGACAAAGCAAAATTGACTCAGTAGAGAAAAATCTCCTTTATGAAGTTACAAAAATAAATACCATTATTTTTCTCCTCCTTCCAAAACCACCATTGTTTCTTTAATTATTGGAGCATAACAGAATTGGCAGGACAATCCAATCCAGGTATTTTATATCCAGGATGAAAAAAGGTCCTTGCACAGAGGTAACTTGGATCCAGTCAGACGCCAAACCCAGAAGTAATTGGTGTGAGGATGTTGGCTGTGTGGTTTTAGAGTTAAGGAAGCTCATCAGAGGAAGAAAAACAGGCTACGAAGGATGAGAAGCAGGAGAAGGTTAACTGTGGGAAAGGGTAAAATTCTGCTCATATTGCGTATAATTATCACTCCTGCTGAATCACAAGGAAGGAAAAGGAGGGTGGATCTAAAATACAGTGCTTGTACGAGTTTGTTGATCTCCTGCTGCCATGCAAGTGACTACAAAATAGGAATAACATTATACCTGATCATGTAGATCATTGTGGTATCAAGTAAAATAATTAGCAAGTACAATAATTATTTTAGGCCTCAAAATTTCATATTAATTTATTTTTAAGCCAGGCTCCTATCTCCTTTCACCCTAATTAGACTATATTCAGACTACTTCAGTAAACTTACTTTAAGCATTATGTGTTATTTAAAAGGCACTGAGCAACAGAGAAGCGAGTTTTCAATTCTTCTATTCTTCTTTCAATCTCTATCACATAAAGATTAACACACGAAAGTAATACAACACCAAAATCACACCAAAGTTTTCTATAGCTGTTCAAAATTCACTTTTGTTCCCTAACAGACTATCAACTTGTATTGCTGCTGCGTGTTGATTTCTACTGTGCTCTACCCATGTACCTGAGGCTACATGAACCAAAGTATTGCTTTGATGAGAGTTAACTCAGAGATAAGACAGGCAAATATGCCATTTACACTACAATCCTACCATGTCCATGTTTCACCTATAGTCCAACATCACATATATAAGCAAGTGATTAAAAAAAACAACTCAACCAACTGTATGGGCATGGGTACAAAAACCATTTCTGTTTTTCAACAGTAAGTGGTACTTCTTTTTTCCCTTTTCCCAGGCAGGAAATTAGAAAGCTCCTTAAAAAGGCTCCTCTCCTTAAAGCTTTAAATGAAGACACTTAATTTGCAGGGCTAAGAGATGGCACTTCAGGTACTCATGAAAGAAGCAAGAAAACAAGCGTAGGCGTATGCCAAGGTAGTTGCTAAGGGAATGGTTCAAGAGGAGTGAAGGAGGTGGGAGTGTAGGAAGAGACAAGAACAGATGTAGGCTGAAATCTTTAAGAGTTTGCATTAAGAGCTGGAAACTTAATATACAACGACTAAAAAGTCATGGGGGATATCATGTGAGAAGTGTTACAGAGGGAGGCTGGAGTGGTGGCAATATGGACGGATTTACAAATCAGTCAAGTAACCAGAAGAGGGGAAGAAGTGTTTTTCCTGTGGCAGCACTGAGACAGAAAGACATCAGAGAGATCAGAACTAATAATAACATACACAAAAGCAATTGCTCAGGTAATAACATGCACCAAAATAGGCAGTAAAAACTGCAAAACTACAAACCAGATACTGAAAACTGTTTTAGGAAAACGTGTTAATTTCTCCTTGCAATTGAAATGAAGGAAAAGAATACACCTGAAGGGACTCTCGAATAAAACACTGTAAGGAACAACTTAATTAATCTGGAGTGCGTGTAAGTGAATTGCAAACCAAGCCACTACTTTGTGCTGGGTTTACGTTAGGGACGCAAGCCAGGCGCGGCCCTGGAGGGTGTAGCCCGGAGCGCAGGAGCAGCGCACAGCAGCCGTGCGCTTTTACTGCCGCCGTGAGGAGAGACGTGGGCACTGCCTCCGACTGCAAATTCTGGCAGACCCCTTGCAGCCTGAACTTTAATATTCCCTCAGGAGGCCGCCAGTGAATTGATTTCACAAAAGAGCTAAATAAATAGTATCGGTTTTAACAGCAACTGACTTGTGATGTGTTCTCTAGTTTAGCAGGGAGAAAGAAAGTAAGATCTACCTTTGCTGTTAGCACTGTATTATGTTTTATTCTCATTTGTTAGAAAAGGAAAAAACCTCTAGGATTGATTTTTATATACCAGTAAAACACATCTGGTGTGGGGAAGGGAGCAGCCACCAACCAAAACAGAGTATAAAGTATAACAAAAATGAGAAACCCTACTATGAACAACAAATGGCATCAAGTTTTTGCTATTCTTCAGGCAGTATTTCTCTACAGCAGTCTGGGAAAGGTCAGAATCTAGTCATACTTCTCAGGAAAAAACATTAGTCAACTTACTGGGAAAGGCACAACCTGTTACAAAAATTCCTATCTAGGTTGCTCCCTTACATCACAGGACCCTCCTGGGAAGGACCCCTTGGGACCACCTAGCCCAACCTTTTGCTCAAGCAGAGCCACAGAGCAGGTCACCACATCCACCAAGTAATTGTAAAGAATAAAATGTGCACATAAAACTATTTCTTGCAACATTTTAAGTAATTTGAAGTATGTGATTCATCAAATAGGGCACTACTTGGTTGGTTGAGGGTTTTTTAAAGTGTCAGTAAAAAAAAGCAGGGGCTAGGTGATACTTCTACCATCTGCTCTCCTGCAGGTATAATTGCTTCAGATTCTAACACATCTCAAGATGGGCCATGCAGGCCTGTGGACAGCTTTTCTACACTGGTATCACTTGCTGAAAAAGAAATGGGCTACAGGTGTGTCTGCAAGAGAAAGCACACAGAAGGCGATACTTCATATGGTCTGAAGTACAATTTATAGAAAATCAGACTCACTTGCCACCCCAGATGCAATTCCATAGAGCAGTCCTCCTCCATCTGTTTGCTGCTGAAAGACGTGGGTCCCTGGAGGAGGGCTTCTCTCTTGTCTAATGAAATTATACAGCAAAGTTTTCACAAGTCTGCTGGTGTATGGGAGACTGGAATGAAAAAACAAAACAACAAAAAACTTTAGTTGACTCACAATTCACAAAAATTGGCACAACGAAGTCCAGGTAGGGTGCAAAGGCACCCTTTGGCATTAAACATGGTCAGTAACTCTCCTAGTGCTGACCAGTTTGGAAAGGGAAAGAGCAACAAGGTCTTGCCCATGCAAAGCTGCCCAGACTTCAGCAGGGGTCTCCAGGAGCATCTTCTACAGCAGGATCATGAAAACTGCCTTTTGGTTTTTGTTTTTTAAATAGTACTTTTAAATAAATCATTTTAGTTTGTAGAATCTCAAGATATGACTGGAAAAATACTTATGCAATGGAAAGAAATGCTGTATCTTTTAAGCTTTTACTCCATGCTCTGGTAACACAAAAGAGGTACCAATAGCATCTCTCCACACCCACAATATTTTTGTCTGTATGTGCAGCTCAGAACCAATCTTAAGCACCTTTTCAAACCTCAAGGATTCCATAATTCTATGACTTTGCAAAGACCAATGAAACAACCAGCCTCACAGCAGTGAATCTGAAAAATGCCTGTAGAATTTGTTTGGTTTAACTAAAAGGTTGCAGTATTTCCAAAATGGAGTAGCATTTCCACAGAAGCAAATAGCTAGCTCCCATTCCCATCTAATTTAGAGCTGAAAAGACAGGAGCCCTCTTAGGATGGACTCTCTGACCATCTGTAGAAGCCCAGAAAGTGAGGGGCTAATGTGAGTGTCCCAAACCCCAACAGCTGCACGTGAGGAGCCAACCAAGGATTCTTGGGAATAACAAACAAGGACTGTTGGTAAAAACACACGAGAGAAAGATCAGGCTGTGGCTGGAGAAGGGGCCAGACAGAGGCAGGGCAGCATTTTCTGGGACAAACCTCCTGGCTGTGGCTCCTGCAGAAAAGCACAGCTCGGCTCAGCACAGGCACAGGGATGGGGCCGAGAAGGGCTGGGCACTGCAGGGGGGAACGAGCCCATCCAAGAGCCCAAAGCCTCCAACACATTTCCAGAAAGTTCTGAAAGAACCGACCATGAATGAGAACGGATCTGCACAAAAAGAGAGGAGCTTCTCTCCAGGGAGCTGAAGACTTAAAAGGAGCCCCACAAAGCCCAGGGCATCCCATCAGCTGGATCGACATGGAGACAGTCATTTCTAGTGATCTCTCTCTTTTTTCCTTCCTTTCTCTCTTCCCTTCTTTGATTGAATTCTCTCTCTCTCTCTCTCTCTCTCTCTCTCTCTCTCTCTCTGCATCCCTCTCTTTCTCCCTTTACAGCTTCCCCCACCTTTATCCAAACTCCAACTGTGGTTACACTGGGATATATCAGGGATAAAGACACCGTCTTCCATGCCAAGTGCATAATTTACTAATAAAATTTTGCAGATCCTCTGACATTTGCATTCCTTTTCATCATGAACTTCTACAAATCCTGGGTGCTTCCTGCTCCTTAGGGGTGGGATATCATACTAGTACCCCTCCAACTGTTCACACTGCTCCCAATTCCCAGCCACCAAATTCCCATGTCTCTCTCCAGAGGCCAGCACCTCTGACTCCCAAATCAGACCTCTTAGATCACATACCAACTCTTCCCCCAAACATCCCCCATTTTCTCCCAAACCCTCAATACCTTCAGTCCAGAGACTGAAGTACAGGAACACCCCACACATACATCCTCAGGTTCTGGCTCTATCCTGCTGCTGTTTCAGGCTGAAGTCTGCCCTGTGCTCCAAGCTGAGCCTCCTTCCTTTCCCTGAACATCAGAGCAGTAAGTGTCTCTTACACCTAGTAGAATCTTCAGAAAACCAGAGAATAAATACATTTATGAAAAATCTTCCCACATGGAACTAAAAGTTGAAAGAGGATGTATGGGAGCCTGACTAAAATGCATGTAAGCCACCGTGAAAGCACTTGAACACAACCATTAACTTGCCAGAACAAGTGGTTTTACTCACACAACCAAGTTTACCCCTGGCTAAGTGTTCCCTTCAGCTCAGCACAGCATGTGTCTTCATCTTCCAATGACTGCTGCTTATCTGGATGGCAAGAAAGCTCTAGCATTTCTGAGGGACCTGAGTTCTCTAGGCTGCAGTGCTACAAGACTCATTGCTGAATCAAAAAACCACCCTGAAAAGTAAATGCTGTTTTAAGTTAATGAAATTACTCTCAAAATATAAAAATTATTTCCAAATTAATTTTACTGAAGTCTGGGCTGTGAGATTTCCACCCAAATCCCTGCAAAAGCCTTTACAGATGTTTATTTTCCCATTCTCTTTCCTTTTGAGCAGAACAAATTTTGTATCAAGATAACATTTTGCTGCCTTCTGTTTTCAGGTACAAACACCCTAAAGGAGCAGCCAGCAGCGTTTGTTTTGCCCTAATGCAGCACCCCGGAGCAGGACATACCATCGACCATGCATCAGGTATCTGTGAATGATGCTCTCTCGAAGAATCTCTTTATGGAATAATTGGCAGGAGAGGAACACAATGAGAGTTGTCACGGCTTCCAAAGAAATGCTGTATGTAATATCTCTGCAGAATAAAGGGAAAAATTACAGAGATTAATCTAGTGGGTTGTTTACAAGCTGATTTCCAAGAATACTTGGTAGGTTCACCTGAAACTATACACTGTGTAGCACACAGAGTTTCAACTAGGAACGTGTAAACAACAAATTCAAGAAACCTAGAATCATTTCATACCAAAAATGGGTTGTTGTTTAGAAATAAGAAATTTCTTGTTTAGAAATAAGCACCTTTTTCATATGACAAGGGACAAAACAATGTAAAAAGAGGTACTGGTCATAGCACTCAAGTTGCAATTGATAGACTATACTTCTTCCTAAAAATAATAAATATCTCTCAGAAGTGTGTTCTTTGTACTGTTAAACAAAATTGTCAGAAAACCATCATGCTAAGTGAGGGAATGAATGTCCAAGCTAGCCCAACACAAGCCAAGAAAACTCGATCCCTGTGAGAGGAATGCAATACACAAATGCCAGATCAAGTGTACAGAACTCTTAGGGTATCAGGATACCACATACATTGTTCAGTTTTAAATGGTATTTTTTGAGGTAACAGGGAAGTAGAAAGTTTCAAGGTTTTATAGATTATCACAAAGAATGAGGTGCAATGCTTAAATACAGACACCAGACAGTTCAGAAAAGTTCATTTAGCTCAGGCTGATTAGGAAAGGCTGTGCAGCGGAACAGATGACAGGCACACTATTAAAAATATCTTGTGCTTTCTGTTCCCACCTCTGCATACAATGACTTTGTTACAAATCTTGTTTTTAAAAGGGAGAGAAAAATGCCATTTGCCTCCTTAATCAGCAACAAATTGCAGACTGCAAGAAACAAATTGTGTTTCAAAACACAATGAACTAACTTGGATACGAACCAGTAACGTTCTTACTTTCAACCAAAGACCATTTTTACATCCTCCAAAATGAGGTATTTAATTTAGTGCAACAGCACCATCCTCCAGTTCATCAGAAATATTGCTATCAAGTATTGTTATTGTTATCACAAGTCCTTTTAATGTTTCTCCCATTGCCACTATTTGATTTCCATAGTATGCTTCCCAATCCAGTATTGCTAAGTTACAATGGTTTCCCTGCAACAATTACTAAGGTTTTCTAACCTGGGACATACTGGAAATTCAAAATCTGCTTCTTGTTGTAGAATGCAAATATTTAATAGTACCTCTATTTAAGATATTTTAAAAAATCAAGAACAAATCATCATCGATGTTATTTAATCAGTGGTGCTAAATTTTTCTCTGTTACAATGTTGCCTTCCAAAAAATTTATTCTCAACAGCTAGAACAGGTGTAAGCATAAAATGAAGTACTCTTTCAGGCAATGACTAGAAAACTACAATGCAATCTCCCGAGGCAAAACAAATTAACCCCAGAATTACTAGATTTTCACTAGTCTCAGGATCAGAGCTGGTGTGGTCCTCACTGAAATACACAGGATTTTATTCAGGAGAAATCACTCAAATTTTCAACACAATCAAATAACTTAATATTCTCAAGTCTGCTGCCCAGATATGGTGTAAACAACATGCATTACTGTGAAGTGTGAAAAGAAGCATTTCATGCATCACAATGCACAGCTTAAGTTAAGCTCTTCTGCAGCAGCTCCAGGCCACAGTTTCTGTAGAGTGCAGTTATTTACTCAAAGCCAACATCAAACTGGAATCATAATTTCCTGGATCACAATTCACAGACTGCACCACCTCTCATACAAAAATGTTTTTAAAAGTGGAGGTTGTGCAAACCCACTGTATTTTATTTTCTCTCGCCTCACTTGAGCATCTGAACATCAAACATTTGGAGTTACGGGTTGGGAAAAGACATACTGCCTAAGTAATATTTTCCTGAAAATCATGATGTCCTTTTGGATTACTTTTACTCTCTGCAAGTTACCTGACTTTTTGCCCACTCCTGAGGAAGTTCGCCAGTGTAAATGCTGATAATTAGATCAGGGCAGAGGTTACACTCTGATCTGGTTCCACTGCAAATTCATCTCAGCCAGAAGCAAGGCTGCACTAGGAACAGTGCCTGCTCCCTCTCCTAACCAGGGGTGCTCTGCAAACCACCACCCACACACATCTCAAGAAAAGCAAAGAGGACTTATATATATATATACACATATAATTATCAAATGTTCAGCCACCAGCAAAAAAAAAATTAAAAAATGTTTTTCTATCAAAATAAAACCAACAGTTCGGGAAAATACTTTTTTGATATTATAAGGAAAACGTTCAGAAACTTATCCTTATGACAAATGAGGCTGAGAATATGAGAACAATGTCTCCTACCCCAAGGTGATGAATGAAAAGGGTAATAATAACTTCATGACATACTACAAGATGCACTGGGTCTCTATTCAGAGAGGAAAAAAATTTTGGGGTCTAGTATACATCTTCTCCATTACAATCATTCATTCATTTATTTTTATTAATATTTATTTCATTAATTCAATTATTTTTATTATTTTATTATTGTTTTTATTATAACCCACACAAGTAGAATAGCAAATTTGAGGAAACATTACAAAATAATTTTCTGTTTTGATAAGAATCAGCATGAAAAAATAAACTAAGAGATTACTGTACTGTATTAAGTACATTTGTGAGGAAAAAAAATCTGCTTTCAATATCCTTATGTAACTCTGACAGAATAAACAAACAGAAAGGTAAACTCAAGCAGTTCCACTTAGTGAGTTATTCTCATTTTCTGTAAGTTCAAAACCCAGACAGGGCACATTTAACTTAGAAACACTCCATTCAAACCTGTAGAACCTGTTCAAATTAAATCAGCTCTGACATAAACACAAGCAGGGTCTTGATATCTGGGGTAACCCCTCAGGTCCAGTCGCCCTTAATTTATCAGCACAAGGATAAAGCTTCAGAGAAAAATTATTTTTTCTACCAAGGGTCAAATGTACGGTTTTCTGCAACTCAGGCATTTCTAAAGGATCACAAGAACTACCAGAAACCTCTTTCATCTTCAAAGAACATACTGTTTATTTATATTGAGAGACTATATAATAGGGGGTCTTGGTTTTGATTTTTTTTTTTATTTTATTCAAAGCTATTGGTCACATAGAATGACTTTACATGGAATTTATGCTGATCTCCAACTTCCCCTGAAAACTGTTTGCTTGCAGATAAGGAGGAAACTAGAAATAATGAACTCATGTATCAATTACATGTCAAAATTATTTAACTACTTATTTCAGAAAGCCAGAATAACTGCATATTGTTTTGAGCTTCTGTGGCATTTTTTTTTTCCTTCTCAAGTGTCTTACAAAACAAATGAAAAATACACAGATAGAGCTCATGTTCTGCATAAATGGACTTCATAAAGCAATGTACCAAAACATGCAAAGGTCTTTTCTCTCTCCTCTTTTGGATTTTCTCTTTTGGGGATTCATTAGTTATCCACAATTTTTTCATCTTATTCTCTCTCTCTCCTTTCCAAAGAGAGATTTATTCCCATATCAGGAAGACAAGTTAGCAGATACACAGTCTGCCTCTCAAAACACACATCTTTCACACAGAAAGAATCTGAGATAGACTGAAGTCTAGAACTCATGGCAATCATTTCTCTCCTGAATTTGGGTTCTTCTCTTATCCCAGGGAGCTGTCCTCCTGATATCACACCTCAAATGCAGTGACATCCTTGAACCGGATGGAACAGGTCCAGGTCCTCCCATCTGACACCCAAGCTGAAACTGATTTCTGGCAACAAACCTTACACATAATCATCTACTCTCTGAAGAAAAGACACAAGATACCATATCTGAAATTATGTTAAATTATGGATTCCTCATACAATGAGGAGCTCTAAAATGCAAGATTCCCTGATACCAGCACAACAAACGTGTGTGTGTATTTAACACGTGTTTGCGGTCTATGTTTCAATGGAAAAGTGATACATCAGTGGATTCCTTCAAAAAGCAAATGATGCCAGATCACTTTAATAAAAACTTTTAAATTAAATGAAGTTGTATGATTAATAGTAATTGTTACATAACAACTCATTAAATCAAAACACAAAAATGAAAATCACAGAATGGTTTGGGTTGGGAGGCACCTTGAAGCTCATCCAGTCCCATTCCCTGCCTTCTACTGTACTGTCCCATGGTGCTCCAAGACACATCCAACCTGGCTTTGGACACTTCCAGGGATGGAGAGTCCACAACCTCCAGGAAATGAATTCTACTAAGCCAGACCATGTTCCATCTTAATCTGCTTTGTTGGGTGGGTAATAGAGATCCTGGGCTCCTCTAGGACCTCTATAGCTCTTGCAGTGCTGTTTTAAAGCAGCACTGCATTTAGACATACAGTAGTACTGCTTTACAAGAAACTGGTGCAGTACCTAATTCTTCCAGGATATGGACTGGAGACAATATCACTTCTCTTCTGGTCTTCCACCAAGAACATTCATTTTATTAGATTTATTTTATTTATTAACTTTAGTGGCAAACTTATAAATTATAATCATCGAATCCTAGACTGGTTTGTGTCAGAAGGGACCTTAAAGCTCATCCAGTTCCACCTCCTGACACAGACAGAGCACCTTCCACTAGACCAGGTTGCTCCAAGCCCTATCCAACCTTAGCCCAAATACTGTTTCCAAATGATGCAGTCACCCCACATAGAACAAGAGCTATGTTCCTGTTGAAACCACAGCTCCCCAGCATCCTGGCATCTGCTTTATCCATCCAAAACCATGTGGATGACCTCCTATCAGCATCACCTACCAAGAACTTCAACAATCTACCTATGTGTCACCATCCTGCTGCTGTTGGCTTCTCTCCAAGGCCAAGCACGACTCACAAGTGCTTTCTGTGCTCCCCAATCATTCAGCTTTGTTCCCTGCCTGTGAGAGAGAGGTCTGTGACAGAGGAACCAAGGTGAAGCACAGAGGCACCATAGAGGAAAATCTCAGCTACAAACTCCAATTAACACTCTGAAGGCACATGCTGTTGTAAACACTTTAATTACTCAGTGAAATGCAGC